GATCCCAGATACGCAGAGTAAGACTGACAGACTTCTCCAGATCCATGTCCAGCTACACAGTGTAACCTTTAAGTCATCCCAGCAACACTGTAGATAATTTCTTAATTTGGTCAACAGACTTCTCAATCTGTGCTAGTTGCACTGCCCTCTACACTATATCCTAGGCTTACATGAATCTTGTCCAAGGGAGTCATCAAGCCCCTGCAATAAAACCAGCCTTCATCCTTGTATTTTTCGGCAAGGTTCTCCTCCTGGGCCTTGCTCTCAGCACACCTTCCCCCATCAACAGGCAGTACAGCTTCAAGGACCACTTCAGGCCCAACTCCACATCCAAAGCACATGGTAGGCCCAAACACTGGCTGTGGGCTTAATAGGATAGATCAGTCCAGTAGCATCTCCCTAGACTGCAGGGAAAGAAAGAGATCAGAAGGCTTGCATCAATATTTATATCGTCCCCCAGCATGCACAAGTGGTAATGAACATCCTACTGATTGGCTGGAGGATATATACACATTAATAACACAGTTTTACTGGGGTACCAGTGATATCTACTGGCAGCACAGGGAAACATCAGCTCCACTGAATTTAGGGGAAAACCAAATGACGAAATAGACTACAAACTCAGCTTGGGCTAACTGCCACCAGGCAAAGCTAAATTTAGGTAGTATTCCCTGTTTAAAGTGATTCTAAAAGCTGAAGGTTTTTTACCTTCATGCATTCAATGCATGAAGGTAAAAACCTTCAGTGTGCAGCTTCCCCTGCAACACCCCCTAACTGCGGTGTATTTAGGTTTTGTGCTGCCCTAGGCAACACAAAAAATCTGCCATTACCCGCTCCCGCTGCCAACCATTGCCCCTCCCCCCCTTCCCAGGAGAGAAGGAGAGAGGCTCACCATCACAGCTCTCCGGTATGCCAGCTCCCTTCCTGGAGTCTTACAGTCGCTCACCTGGCCCCCCTCAATTTGCTCTCCAACCTGCCACCCAGCCCCAGTGCTCTTCGGAGCCCCTTCATACACAGCATCATCTGCTTCTGGTCACCAGTACAACATCACCGCATCCCACCCCCTCCCCAAAAAAAAAAGATTGCCTTGCAGTAAGTATGCCCCTGCCATCTAATACTTACCTAAACCTTATCTCAATCCAGCAATCCTGTGACAAAAGCAGAGGCTCTCCTGGGTCTCTCTCTCCTCATTGACTGAGACACAGCAGTGGGAACTATTGGCTGCCGCTGCTGTCAGTCACAGCCAGTGAGGAGGGAACAGGACTGAGCCATGCTCTGTGCATCCCATAGACACACAGAGGCTCAGGAGCGAGTACACATCTTGCTCTGGGAGCACACGGCAAAGGGAAAGGCCCAGAAGCTCTGGTGGGAGACCCCAGAAGAGGAGTATCAGGGCTGCCCTATGCAAAACCATTGCACAGAGCAGGTAAGTATGATGAGAGAAAAATTCAATTTTAAAAAGAAAAATTCAAACCTTTAGAACAACTTTAAGACAGGGTGCTACAGTAAACTAGTGAAACTAGTTGACTGGAGTGTACCATTCATACTGGGGAGCCAGCTACCTCTATATCCTTTCCCCACACTTCTTCTTACACCCTAAATCATTTCAATCTGTATGTACAACCACATAAACAGAATGACGGATGCCAGCTTTCTGTGCAATAAAATGACCAAATTGAAAACAGTGCTTTTCAGTTTTATTGTGGCATATAATAAAATTAGAATGAAACACATCACTTGAGCTAGTAGGGCAGACAGTAAATGGTCCAAAAATGTTTGTGAAACCCAAAGTAAATTGTCTCAAGCAGAAGTGAGGTCTCAAGCAGTTTTGGCATCTACAGTACGGTATTTGTACTTTAATTGTTCCAGCTGGTTCCTTCTCCAACAAGCAAATGATGAAAGCAGATTCATATGCTTTAAAAGTCAAATGAGAATGCTTAAAGATCAAATAGGGTCTCGTTTTAATAAATGAGGCAGAATCCAAGTACTGGCAACTGTGTGAATAGTGTTTTAACTGTTAGAAACTGCTCTTTTTCCAATAGGCATATTAGGAATAGGCCCTGTTTATTTAGTTTCCATGGCGCACTTAATTCAACCTCCACTGCAATGACATCATTATTATGCCTTCATCATATGGCACATAAATGCAGAGCAGGTGCTCCTGGTTACCAGAGGTAAAATACACTGCGGTCACATAAATAAGAGTCACTAGTCACAAGAAGGCTATTGTTTGGCAGTAATGGATAACATGTAGTGAAAGTGAGCGTCGTGCGTCTACAATGTGGGACAACAAGAATCTGTAAGCATATTTACCACTTAAAAGCCAACTCCAAGTCAAGGACAGCAATAAAAGCCTTATAAAGATTTTAGTCCTTCCAAAACACACTATTCAAAACTGAAAAATGATGGAGGCAATGTTTTAGGGCATTTGTGACACATTTCTGGGGGAGTGTGTATGTAGTTGTAAGCTTTGTGCCATATTCATGAAAACCCTGAAACATGTTTATTGTTTGTGGGTAGGTGGTGCAGCGTGGTGGCAGCCAAAAACACCTGAAGTCTAGTTGCACATAACAAGACTTGTATTGAAGAAACAGCCCAAATGTACAAACAACCCAGCAAGAAGGCACTAAGCTGGGAAACACAGTTCTGCGCAACCTGTACTGTAGAGCAGGTTCTGATGCACCGACAGTGTCTGTCTCTGAGGGCGGAGTGTGGCCTGGCCAATCTGAGACCAAAGGGGAGGATTCCGATGGAGGATGGCGTGTCCCTACTCTTAAAAAGGCTCTGCTAACCCAAGATGGCCACCAAGGTCACCTCTATGCAGTACAGCCAACTGTAACGCTGCCTCAGGGGACCAAGTTTCTCTAGACTTCTCTCTCCAGCTGAGCGCAACCTACAGTGGAGAAATGAAACTGCACCTGCCTATATGTAATAACAACATTTCAATTGGTAGTTTAAAGTAGTTCTTACTTACAAAACATTTACTGTATGGTGCTATCATATATAAAAAAAAATACCTCCATATCGGTGATAAGGAAAGTGGAGGTAAATAAGACCTTTTTCATGTTGGAGCAATTAGTTGATTGTAATGAAGAAAAAAAGCTTCCAAGGGGCGCTGGGACATTGGTGTGAGTTCATACAAAGATTGAGAGAGGACAAAATCATTCGTAGAGTTCATTGGCTCAGGTTAGGCTGTAAGTTAGTATTAAAGGGTATGTAAACACTATAAATGAACTTCTGTCATTTGGTCCCTTTTGTTTCGTTTTATAGTCCATTGACAATGTTTTGTTATATCTCTTTGATATGGATACAAAAAACCTGTGGATCTTGTCAGAAATCTTTTGAGTTGATAACTGTTTCTATCTCCGCTGACCATCATAGTGACATTGTTTCCAGTTATCTCTGTGGACTATAGAACACCTCCTACTTGGTTATGGAGGTAAGGTGGGGTAAAGGTGTACTATAGTTCTAGCAAACTTCATGCCCTAGGGTGACAACACTGTTCCTCTAAATATACAGTACAGTGAGTGTTGTCACCCTCGGAAAGGAAGTGTGTTACTGGCAGGATCAACAGGTGAAAAGGAAAGGAAAAACGCCTTAAAAAGAAAAGTCAATTATCACATCAAGGTCTGCTAAGCTGCAATTTATTACATTTTATTACATTTATTACATTTTTGTTCAAGGATTTATATATGTTTCAAATAGACACAACAACAACTGTAGCATTCAAATTGCCCCAACAACAGATCCTATTCTAAATAAGCATTTTATTCTTTCCTATGAAATTTGTCATAGAAGTCATCTATGGGATCTTTGCCTTGGGCTAATAGTGTTTTCATGCAGCTTGGATTTTTATACCATTTTATACTAATAGAAATGTGACATTTACTATGTTTTTTTCACATAAAAATACCGAATCTGTTATGCTTTCTCATCCCTCCAAGGTAATGGCAGCTTGCCTTGGCTCTTATTCATCTGTAGACTGAAAGGATAACTGCTTGCATCTTTACTTGATGACCTTGAAATATTATACTTTGCCAAACAGTAGTCTGAGAGAATTCACTGGAAAATGTGCTAGTTATGACCATTCCAATGGAAATAAAGGAAGGGAGTACAGTATTTCCAAAGCTTGCAATGGATATCATAGTGAGTTGTTTACAAAGTATCAAAGTTAGGTAACAGCAGCGAATCAGCAGTAAGCTTTGATGGGTCTACTAAAAGCTAAACCAGAATTACTTAAAAATGAATTCCAGGCATGGTATATGTTTACATAGTAACATTGGTCAGGCTTGGACCAATGTATTGTACAGGATGCCAGGGATGGGTCCTGGACAGGAGATCTATTTTTTCACCTTTGTGGTCCCTTAAAGGAAGAGTTCAAGAAAATATTCCCATGCAGGTTGAGGAGTTCCAGGGTAATCTGGTCAGTGGACTGATTTAAAGTACCCTCTGGTTTGGCAAGTCCTCGTTTGGGACCCAGAATTCAGGGTCTTCGAGAGATTTTGAGTGGGAAAGAGCCTCCAAATCCTGATTACAGGAAGTTTGGACCTAAAGGGATTACAGTAAGCCACATGCAGGAGAGGCTTAAAGCAGAACAGAAAGTCGTGAAGTGTGTTACAGGACACAATGAAAAGTCAAGGTTGTGGACTGCTTATGACTGAGACTCTGCTTAGTGGCTGGACACCTCCTCTTTGGGACCCCTGAGGGAGGTGGGGACATAACCCTGTAAGGGACACGTGTTGTGGGTGGTGAGCCAAACATTTGATTTTTGTATCAGGAGTGTGGACTGTTTGCTTTATTTTTGCTGAAGAAAGCTATTTTGTTAGCTTGTATGGAGAGACCAATACAGACTTACTTTTACAAGTGGCTGGCTGGTGATCTTGGGCTCCCCAGACCAGTGTATTTTGGTTTTGTGCTGCCCTAAGCAATACAAAAATTGGGTGCCCCCCCCAATGTCCTGTTTAAGATCCACTCCTTAATCTGTAAACCCCAACCCTTCCACTGCAGACATAGTACAGGAGATGGTCAGAGACTGCCGGCATACTACAGGAGATGGTCAGAGACTGCAGACATATTACAGGAGACGGTCAGAGACTGCAGACATACTACAGGAGATGGTCAGAGACTACGGACATACTACAGGAGACGGTCAGAGACTGTGGACAGGATACAGGAGACTGCGGACAGGATACAGGAGTCTGCGGACAGGATACAGGTGACTTTGGGCAGGATACAGGAGACTGTGGACAGGATACGGGAGACTGTGTACAGGATACGGGAGACTGCGGACAGGATACAGGAGACTATGGGCAGGATACAGGAGACTGCGGACAGGATACGGGAGACTGTGGACAGCATATGGGAGACTGCGGACAGGATATGGGAGACTGCGGACAGGATACAGGAGACCTTGTGCCACTATGTAAAATTGCCATTTGGCATTATAAAAAACATTTAAAAAAACAGGTATTCAGAAGGCAGCAGTACTGCCTCTTGAACAACTGTCAACCACTGCTATACAACTCTCTGAAAAGTGATCCACCAAGATTGACTTTTCAGAGGGACTAAGCAGTACAACAGGTCTGGGGAGATCTGCTCTAAAAAAAAATTCTCAAGGACACTACCAACTTACTGCTGCCTGTGCCATGTGTGTCTCCATCTGCTGAGAGAGCCTTCAGTTTCTTCTGTCCTCCTAGAAGTGACATCACAGGCGACTTGGAACCAGTGGGTCCTGTCCATCTTCACCAGTGGGTCCAGAGGACCTCCAACAGTGTGCCCCATGCATCTCCAGTGTGTCCTGCCTACCTCCACCAGTGAGTCCCACCCAGTTCCAGTGTGTCCTGCCTACCTCCACCAGTGAGTCCCACCCAGCTCCAGTGTGTCCTGCCTACCTCCACCAGTGAGTCCCACCCAGTTTCAGTGTGTCCTGCCTACCTCCACCAGTGAGTCCCACCCAGCTACAGTGTGTCCTGCCTACATCCTTCAGTGAGTCCTGCCCAGCTCCAGTGTGTACTGCCTTCATCCATCAGTGGGTCCCGGCCACCTTCACATCTTCTTTCTTCAAGAAGGAGGCATTTGTGATGCCACCCTACCAAGTCTCTACCACCCACATCAGACGGCTGCTGGAGGGAGGAGAGAGCAGAATCCGCTCCACCAGTAGCTGTTCCAGCCACTGCTGTGCAAATCCCTAGCTGAATGACAGAGGTAACAACAGTAGCATTACTCCTGTCATTCAGGCACTGAAAAGCTCCCTTTGCCCCTTCACTACGTGGCAACACAGTGCCCAGGACAGGTGCTCCCCTGCCTCCCGCCTGTCCTGCTGAGCCCTGCCGAGCCCTCCTGCCCTGCCAAGCCCTGGTCCCTTGTCCCTTCTGCCTGGGGGCAGTGACGCCCCCTTGAAAAATGTCACCCTAGGCAAAAGCCTTGTTTGCCTCGTGACAGATACGCCCTGCCCCAGACTACAGTATATACCATCCAACACCTCAGTCTTCAGAAGAAAGGGGGGGAGGTCCCAAAAGTCACTCACTGTAAAAGCGAAGGTTATGTTTATTAAAACAAATCAATGCTCAGCCACCAGGTGCAACCAACTCTAATGTTTTTTTCACTCCTAACTGGAGCCCCAAAATGTATCAGTTTATCTTTAATGCTAATTATACTTTATTGGGAACATAAAGAACCTTTCAAAGTCTTAAAGCATGGTGTGCTTCCCCTTTTTTCTCACTCACCTTTATGACACTTAAAAAAGAATTTTGGGAATTAAAAAAATAAACATACATACTCACCTAGGTGGATGTAGCATCAGTCCAAGAACTGGCTCTTGTTAAGACCGAGAAGTGAGCAATCAAACACTGTGATTGCTCAGTTCTCCGTCTTCAGTTAGCAGACAGCCAGAGACTGCAGGGCTCACTGGAGTGCTGGGCTGTGGAGGTGGTGGGAGCTGCTCAGGATCTCAGCAGCTCACTGAGAGATTGAGCAGGCTGCCAGTCTAGGCATCTGGGTGGATCCTGACATTAAATTTGGGATCTATCCAGAGCCTGCACCAGCTGAGTGGCATCAGCTGATGGTGGACTATAGTTCACTCTTGGGTGAATATGGGTCACAGTACTACAGAAGAAGTGCACCCACAGAAGTAGGACCAAAAGAGCTTTGGCCCTACTTCTCCTTTATTGCATACTTGGAGGTCTTTTTTCAAGCTTATAAGTATCCTTTTGCACTCATACAGATTACAGTGCATAACAACAAGCAAGCCTTCACTGACTACAGCACTTCAACTCTATGCACTTTCAGATAAATCATTAAACAGATATATTGTATTGCCTCCACCCCACTTCCCCCTTCATCACCACCATCCCCTCATGCCAAGGCCCACTGACAACCCTTGTTTTCGTATAGATCCCCTAAAGCTGAGCTTCAGACAAGCTGGTCTATTCCCCAACCCATGACTAGACAGTGAAAGGAGAAGTGTCAGATTAATTAGCTCATCCTATTTATTTATGTTTTATTCATTACAGGTACTTATATAGCGCCATCAATTTAGCAGCACTTTACATATATATTGTACATTCACAGTAGTCCCTAACACTCAAGGAACGTACAATCTAAGGTCCCTAACTCATATTCATACATACATATACTAGGGACAATTTAGACAGAAGCCAAATTACCTATCAGCATGTCTTTGGAGTTTGGAGGGAAACCAGAGTACCCGGAGGAAACCCATGCAGGGACACTTGCTTTCAGTCCGTCCTCTCCACTTATCAGCATTCTTATTGCTACCACATATATACAGCAGCACAGTTGGCTGACTCCATCCACTGCTTCTCCCTTTCCCAATCTGAGCTCTGCTGTACAGGGACTGCACATCAAATTCAGGTAGTTGCAATGTTTGGCTTTAAAAAAATCATTTAATTATGTATTAATATATAATACAAAGCTGCACCAATTTGAGTATGTTGAGTATTGTCTTCATGTAATATCCTCTGTGAGCTCCAGAACCTTTCTTTTTGCCCCCTTAATCCTGTTTGCTTTGAACAAGAAGTGGTCATGTGCAATGATATATGCACAGTACAAATCCCATGGTCCCCAACTTGGGAGGGAGCAAGAGAAAAAAGCCACTCTAACAAGAAGTCAGATCACATAGTGCAATAACATGTACTTTTCTGAGTTAAGAATACATACAATTTGATAAAATCAGGGTTTAGTGTCACTTTGACATACTGTATATACACAATATGATTAGCAAAAAGGAAGTACTGGGAGATGAGGCTAATCTTGACTCTTACACAAAATTCTGATGATGTATTTTGCTCAAATTCAAAGCACATATGAAAACACAAAATGTATTGATGTACAAAAAGTTTAATACAGAGTACTAATAAAAATGTGGAATTACCTAAATAAAATTATTTTAATAGCGTTTTTTGCTCACATTGAGAAATGATACAGTTATCTAAGTGAAAAATTGCCTCTGCACAAAGAAACTAGGTGGAACAGAGAGAAGTGTAATGAAAAGTGGTGTAATAATGTGAATAAATGGATGTTCTATTGCACAGTGAGATCACTGGAAGTTCAGCAAGTTCTTTTGGCAGAATAATTCACAAACAAAAACTGTCATTAGAGTATTTTGTTGGAACTACAGCCAGGATACAAGTTGATCTGACTGGATATGAAACTGAATATCATGACCATTAGCCACGTAACCTTCATTAGTTTTAAATGTTCAAAATATGTTTTAATGGGAAGTTTCTGAATATTTTTAAAGAATTTACTGCATAAGTTATGGCCAGAAACCAACCAGTGTTGAATTTGGAGTATAATCTCCAATACGTTACATTACGGCAACTATGTGGCAAATGAGGTTTAATGTTGATAAATGTAAGGTTATGCACTTGGGGGCTAAGAATATGCATGCATCATACATACTAGGGGGGTACAACTGGGGGAGTCAATGGTGGAGAAGGATCTGGGGGTTCTGGTAGATCACAAGCTTAATAATGACATGCAATGCCAAGTTGCGGTTTCTAAAGCGAGCAAAATCCTCTCTTGTATTAAAGGAGGTATAGACTCCAGAGAGAGAGATATTTGTAGTGTGCATATAGCATTTCACAGGACCACATCTCATTCAATACAAACAGAAATAAGAGGGTAAAAAAGGCTCTGGTGCTCCCAGAGGATATTACATGGAGACAGAAAAACAGTGAGTAAAGATTTCATGAAAAATGGATTACAGGGCCATTCTGTTCTATTCTATTATCTTCTATTCTATTCTAAAAGCAACCTAAATAGGTATCATTGTCTTATTTCACTTTTATACCTTACTGTATTTATTGCAATATGTTTCCATTTTGAATGCAAATTAATTTTTGAATTCAAATTCATTTTTGAATCTGAATTTATTTTCAATTTTGGATAATTAATTTCAATATAGTTTATTTAAGATTCCTTGAAATTAGTTAATATTCATTCTAATTTGTTACTACTTCGTAATGGTGATTCAAAAATCCATAGGTGTCCGAATCTCAGAATAACAAAAATTGTGTCCGAATTTCAATTCGTAACTAAATGAATTGCACGTCTACTCATCACCCTTGGAGATAAGTCCAGTGAGGACTGGGGTGGCATATGTGTAGTGTAAGGTGCTAGTTCACCTTTTCATTTTTTCTGAAAGGCAAACCCCACTCTTTTAAGTACTTACAGCAGCTGATTTAATTACTTGTTGAGTATGCAGCTTTTTTTTTATCTTTTAATACTTGCTTATGTTCGAGTATAAGCCCACTGCCCCAGGTTTTCTGTTTCAGGGTTACTCCCTTCTCTTGCAGCATCCTATGGGATACGGAGTTGTGTGTCCCTACACTGTGTGCATTAATTTGAAATAGACAACCCCACTTCCGTGCCTCTAGTTCCTCCTCCCTCTCCCGTCTCCAAGCTAACAGATGGAGGCTGGAGACTGCACTGTCCACTGTTAACTCTTTCCTGTGAAGACCAGAAGTTCAGACAAGAGCCAGCAGTATTGAAAGTTGAAAACTGCAAGTGCTGGGGTAAGAACTTTAACCGATAGTTAATTGTACTGTGCTCAGTGTGTTAAACTAAAAGCGTTGACGGTTTAACCTTCACACTGGTGCCTCTCGGGCCTTTAAGGGGTTTCTGATGCCGGGAGGTGGGGCGGGGTTTAGGGTCATTTGACTGCCGTGATTGGCTGTCACGGCGGTCACATGATTGGAAAAGTCCCGATCGCAAGGAGAGATTGGGACCTTTCCATGGGACACTGACACATGTTCTGGGAGCGTGCAGGGCGCGTGCTCTCAGCACATGTTTGTTTACAAATGGTATGCAA